CATCAGAAAATGAAAAAAAGCAGCAGAAATTAGATAATTTTTTTTTAAAGAATTAATTCAGGCAATTTAAAATATTTACATAAAATGTAGTAGTTTATATGTTTGAAAATTTATGGTTATTAATTTTGCAAAAAAAAAGTAATTTATTGAACTTTTATAATTAGGTCATTCAATACTTCATAATTGTAATTTTTCATTTCTCTCCCCCCCCCTTCTCGAAACTCCAAAATGTCGGTAGTATGTCTGTAAAAGTTTCAGGTGATTTTTTGGGGTCCCACAAACACCCCTGTTGTCTGCAATTGTACAAAATTTTGTTTATGAATTGTTCATATTCATAATTTTTCTGGAATTATTTGATTATTTGACGCTGTATCCCTGATTATAATATGTATAATTCATCATTCATCAATCTGAGCATTTGTAGGGAAAAAAAATGTTTAAATTTACTTTCTCTATTCCTATACTTAAGAGGAATGGCCTGTTTTATTTTTTTTTTTCAAGCTGGCATATCTGCCAACTTTTACGAATTTTTCGTAATTTTTAAGAAAATGAGTTTGTTTTTACGATTTTACGATTGTAATCCATTTTTTACGATTTTTTTTTTTCCTTTTTCAAGTGTTTTTAGTGATTTTTTGTGTCGAAATTTTAGAATTTTTTTCCGCCAATTGCATCGTGTTTTTAACCGCCAACTGCCACTACTTCGAATCCAGTAACCTGCGGTTTCTCCCAACTCGCCGCTTAACCGGCCAATCCAATGCGCTGAACTTGTTTTCTTCCACTCTTTTCTTTGTGGGCGCCAGATTATTTTTTTCGCGTTTGCTTCACCAGCAAGGCAATTACTGAGCTCGGACTCAGCGAGCATGGATTTTTGTCGAATTCTGTTTTTTATTTTTTTTGTTTGCACGTGCTACGAATTTTCTTAATACCTCGTTGTTACGAAAATAAGTTAAAAAAAAAAAACCGTATCCTCTATTTTCGGCCTGCCTACAAAGCCGAATTTCCAACAATTAAAGAATCCTCAAAGGAAATAACTATGCATTTTGCAACGTGTGCGTGTGTGACTTCATAATAAGTCACGGTGGAAGAAGTGACCATTGTGAAGCATGTTAAGTCTAAAAAGCATTCGACAACGTCTAATGCTAAGCATTCGACAATGTCAAAGAAAGTAGATGATTTTTTTTCAAATTCGGCTACAAATTCGGATGCTGATGTCATCGATGGCAGCAACGACAGCGATTGGAAGCTTTACCCCATCGTTGTCACATGTTTCTGTGATGTTTTTAACGAAATGAAAACTCATCTTTTGCATCTTCCATTTTAAATACGGGGGAAAATATTGCCTCCTTGGTAATTAATGAGTTGAAACAACTTAACATCCCAATATCAAACTACTAGCAAGAGTTTTATGTGCTATTCTCATAATTCCACACAGTAATGCTGAGTGCGAGAGAGTCTTCAGTGTTGTGAAGAAAACAAAACTATGTTTCGTTCTTCATTTCACACACAAAAACTCTAGAAAACATTTTTAATTCCTAAATGTTATGAGGAAACTAATTGTTATGATAGGAAATTTTCCAAGAATTTTTGCTAAAAAATGCACTCTAAATTCATTGCAATAATTTTTTTTGTGTAACATTAAGTTCTTGTTTATGTTTCCTAATAAATTTTTTAGTTACTACTTAATTGAGATTTACTAATGTAAGTACAATTTTCTTTTTTCTATTTGTATAATTGTTATTTTTTTAATATCAAAGCATGATATTAATTCTTCGTGTTCTTCTGAATTTTTGGGAGAAACTTCTGAATTTTTATCTTTAGAGGTTGGCAGGTTTGAGCTGGTAATCTAGAGTTTGTGTAGATCATTCTGGACATCGATTGATCGTCTGATTTTGTACTCTAAATGTTTTCAGAACTTAAATGCATTGGTAACAAATGATGTTGCTAATTTTATTTAAATAAATTAAATTTATAAATTGTGGAAAAATACTGTTTTATGTTAAACTTCTGTAAGCTTAACTATTTTAAATGCGAAACTTTTGGTCCTATTTTTTCCTGAAGATAAAGCTGTTAATTACAAGGTAACTAAAACAGTTCTTACTGTTTCTGATACAACATTGGAAAGGTGAACCCCAGCATAAAAATAGTCACCAAACTTGGCGATGAAGTGGTTAGGATGCGAGTCCAGACATTGACCAAAAGCGCGCTGAATTGCTACTGCAAACGTAACTTGCACAGCGACTGATTGAAATGGACGCGTCAAAGGTGCTCGTTCGGAGTTGTTTGCTGTGTGATTTTTAAAGTAGTCCTGTCAGCAGCAGAATAAAGTCAAAGAATTTGCCAGGCCTTTGGGGATTATGCCATTAACGAATGAACTGCTAGGCAATGGTTTTAGAAGTTCAGGTCAGTTAGTGATGCGCCATGCAGCGGCCCTAAGAGCAGCCATATAGAGCAACAGTAGCCAAACATGGGATGAGCTTGCTGCACGCTTCCAGGTATCTGATGAACTGATCAGACTCCATTTGCACCGCATAGGGAAAGGCATACAAGCTGAGCAAGTGGGTACGACTTTGAAACCTCTATATTACTTTGCCACTTGAAGAAATTTATAATAGTTTACTTGCTCTTCCTGAATTATTTCCCTAAATTTCTACACTATTAAATGCTGAAAAATGGCAACTTTTTCTTTCAAGCATACTTTTCAATAATTATATTCAATTCAATAACAATATATTTAAACAAATACAGGGAATTCCTATGGGAGGCAATTTTTCAAGTGCTGTCTGTGAATTATTCCTTTTTACAAAATTGACTTTTATACGTTCACTAAAAAATGAAGATAATAAATTTTACCAACACATCTTTCGATATATTGATGATGTAATAGCCTTTGGCCTGCTAAGAAGGCGGGAGAAATACCTTATAAATTAAGACACAATAACACGCCGAATAAATACTAATTCAGAAGTCAAACAACAAAAATCAGCGTTATATACACAAAATTTTGTGAATATAACGCTGATTTTTGTTGTTTGACTTCTGAATTAGTACCTTATAAATGTTCAAAAATATTTCATTTTCCGTATTTAAGTTTCCTACATTCATTAAAAATTTTATTAGATTTTCTGTAAAATTTTGTAATTGGAACTGGTATTTTGCTTGGAATCTAAGGAACAAATCTTTGGCATTCCTGATTTTCTTCGGAATGCGCAGTTTTAAAATACTGTATAATAAAATATATTGCGAATAATGAGAGCATATTTTGTTATTTGATTTTAACTTGAAATCTGAATGTATAAGATTTTTATGTTGTGAACAGATTTTTAAAATTCGATTTAATTTTTTAAAAATTTAATGTTGAAAACTTTTCGTACATATCTTTCGCACATTTGATGATTGATAACTTATTATCGAGAATAAAATGTTGACAATAAAAAATATTACTATAAAAAAGCTATAATATTTCTATTAAACATAATATTTCTATTAAAACTTAAATTCCATTAAAGCTTGCTTTTTCCCAAGTCATTCAATCCAGTACACTTCTATCGCAATGACTTACTTGGGAAAAAGCAAGCTTGGGAGCTTTACTACTTTTATTATTGACAGACTTTTAATTTAATTTCACAGAAGCAGTAATGAATGCAAGACCAACAATAAGAAGGAAGGTAGGGAAATCTGTTTTATTTTTTTCTTTAACAAATTTTATGAAAAATAGCTCAGGAAGACTAAATCTCAAATTGCATAAGTACGTTATTCTACCCCACTCACTGTCCAATGCAAACAAGCAACAGCATGTTGCTACCTGTTTGTATTGCTTACTCGGTGCCGCAGTGCATCCCTATTTGATAGAGTATTCACCAGCAATGAAAAGCGAGTCCAGCAGGACATGCCCAGGCGTTCCAGACATGGGTCATCACCACGGGACCCTGTGATTCGTGATGCGGTCTTTTCTCCGCCCACGCAAGATTATGCTCTGTATCTGGTGGATTAGTCGCCAAGTGGTGCACTCCACCTCTATGACAATGCGAGGCTGCATGTGGCTCGGAAGGCCAGAGATGCTATCCAGCAACTGGGCTGGGAGACACTACCCCATCCACCATACTCCCCAGACTTCGCACCAACAGACTACCATTTTTTCCATTTCCTGGACAAGCATCTTTGTGGGAAATCCTTCAAGACATCAAAAAGGCCCTTGCATACTTCTTTGCATCCAAGACTCCTGAGTTTTACTGCGATGGCATTGCACAGTTAGCCACTCATTGACAAAAGGCACTGGATGCTGATGGTGACTTTGAGGATTAGTGATAATAATGATTTAAGACCTTTTTCTTTCTGACTGTCCAAAATGGCAAGAATGTTTTGGTTACTTTGTAGTTAGCCTCTCACTGAAAAATCCTTATTTAAATATAAATTACTGTAATGTAGTAGTCGTAGTATAAATATTTTAAGTTATTTTTTTTTTTTTTTATTTATTTATTTATTTTTTTTTTTTGTCCTGCAATCATTTTGTGCCTGGCTAGTATAAAATTACTGATTTAAAGAATGATAATTGTGATGTGTTATCGAGGTAAAGAATGATTGTGCTGTAGGGCATTTTTCTTTTACCTCGTACAGCAATTGCTAGGCATAAATCCTCAGTTTACTTTTCGTACTCTGGGTTTGCAGTCTAGCTATAAGAAGTAATTTTCTGCATTTTTTAATTTGAACCATGTTCAGATTAATTTCAAATATTCATCTTGATGACTGCACTAAGCTATAAAATGTATGAAAACACCTTGCTAAGATAATAACAAATAAGAATAATGCTAATTAATAACAAATAAAATGCTTTAATGCTAAATAAGAGTTTTACCTGATAACAGAGAAATGTTTCATTTATTTATGTTGGGCAATTAAAATTTAAAATAAGTCCCTTTTTTAGTAGCCCTATGATTTTATTTTCAGTCACATAAAACATAATTTGTTGTGAAATCCTAATTTATAATTTTTTTATTTCTGTGTTATAGTGATATCAGCAATTGGCAAGAAACGCTATTGAACTATGCATAAGCAATCCATTCAGTGAGTACAGTATGCATTTTATTTAATATAATGTGACGTAAAAAACAATTTATGTAAAATAAATAACAAGAAACATACCACAAATTCATTTTAAACAAGACACATTCTAGTAGCCATGATACAACATTTGTTAATATAAATGCATTATCATGGCTGATTTGATGGCTGAATTTTAAGTCTGGTAGCTTAGTACCAGGATGAAAGTACACACAACTGAAAGTTTGTCTTTATATGCATGTTATTTTGCTTTAAAACTGATACATCAGATATATTTTCATGCTTAATTTTGCAACTAATATGTTATTTTGCTTTAAAAACTGATACATCAGATATATTTTCAGGTTGAATTTTGTAACTAATAAGTACTTAATGGTTAAATAGTTATTCTTTTAATTTGGTTAATGCTTTTGTTTAAAAAACAACAAGACACATTCTAGTAGCCATGATACAACATTTGTTAATATAAATGCATCATGGCTGATTTGATGGCTGAATTTTAAGTGTGGTAGCTTAGTACCAGGATGAAAGTACACACAACTGAAAGTTTGTCTTTATATGTATGTTATTTTGCTTTAAAAACTGATACATCAGATATATTTTCATGTTGAATTTTGTAACTAATAAGTACTTAATGGTTAAATAGTTATTCTTTTAATTAGATTGATGCTTTTGTTTAAAAAACGCCACTTTTTATGTCTGCTTTCATTTAGTAAATACTTTTTAATAACGTGGAGAAAAAATTTAAAATTGACATTGAGGGATTTTGGATAGCTTTTATATTGCGATGTCTCAAACCTCATACATAACTAGCATTCAATTTTATAGTCACTTGCTTGAGAAGATGACTTTTATGTTAGTGCCATAGCTTGATTAAATACATTTACTCAAAAGTTGAAATGGTGTTTCTTTAAAGAAAACTTATGCTGTTTTAATGTTAATTGCAATATACATGTTTCAGTTTGTTTTATATATTATTGATTTAATGATTTTATATTTGGATCCACATAATCGAACTCTATTTTTGGTTTGATGCAAAATAATTTTCCTTATGTAGAAAATAACTACAAAAGATTTTGGTACAACTCTGATATACGCCGTAATTTCACCAAATGTGGTGATATGTGTTCTGCGCTGGTTTTTGGCGCGATTGCGTGTTGCATGGCAACCCTGTTGACGTTGAAAAATCTTTCGCTGGAGTTCGTTGGTTCACGTCATGCTCTGTGTCTGAGAAGCTAAAATGGTGAAAGTTGTTGAATTGAAGTTCGGCAAAAGGAAATATCATCGTGGCAATCCTGTTGAGGGGCAGTGGGTATTTGGAGGTGTGGAAAGAGGTTCTGGGAGATTATTTTTAGTGGCTTGGCTGTGCATGATAGAAGTAGGGATTTGTGATTATTTGTTATTTTATTTATTTGTGAACCATAGTAAGAATTTTCTGGATAGTGTGTCTGGCTGTCATATAAATACGATAGTGATTACGTGGCGGCATGTTAAAGGCGATATAAAATTGGTATTTCTGCTGTTCGAAAAAGCATTGATTCATGGTAAGTGCATTTTATTTTATTCTTGTTCTTATTTTGTAGAATGTTATGTTCATTGTTTTTTAGTATGAATTTTTGTCGTTATTGTTTGAAATTTATTTTAGTTATTTTGTTGATTAGTGCGTACCGTCTAAATTGTGCAATTCATAGATGTTTTTTAAAGTTGAAACCAGAATGCTGATACATGGTATTCTTTGAAATTTATTGTTATGTTAATTTATTAAAGTGAGGTGTACGTAGTTCGTAGATTCGTTTGTTGCCTAAATTGTGCAATTCGTAGGTGTTTTTTTGAGACAGGACGCTGTGTACATGGTATTCTTTGAAATTTATTGTTATGTTAATTTATTAAAGTGAGGAGTTCGTAGATTCGTTTGTTGCCTAAATTGTGCAATTCGTAGATGTTTTTTTAAGTTTAAACAGGGTGCTGTATACATGGTATTCTTTGAAATTTATTGTTATGTTAATTTATTAAAGTGAGGTGTGCCTAGTTTGTAGATTCGTTCGTTGCCTAGATTGTGCCATTCTTGGATATTTTTTTAAGTTAAAATTTTAAGTTATATGGCAGTGTGGAGTTATATGGCTGCGCCAAAAATGTTTGGCGAGAAAGATGGCGACTTGAGGCCGCATATCAGAGTAGTTCCAAGATTTTATAGACAAGTGCAAGTAAAAACTTAGATTTTAGATTAAAATCGAGATTGATGGATATTAAGTATTATATAATTTATACAAGTGGACTGTAGTCCAAAAAGACAGAATTTTCGTTATAAAGCCATAACCTTCTAAAACCGGCCCGAAATTCTCATAATATAGCCTTCAGACTGGCGCAATCTGAAACAGTTTTGCCCCCTCTTTGACATTTTCCTAATGAGAAAAGTCGTTAGTCCCCCTCCATGGATGAAGTAAAATTTACATGTTTGTCGGACCCTTACGTACCATAGTAGAGGGGTTGCTAGATTTGCAATTTTTTCGATGATTATTTTGCTTTCATTTAAATGAAGTTCTAAATAAATGGTGCATAAATAAATATGCTGTACTGGATGCATATTCAGTGCACAATTTATTTAGAGCAAAATGTATGCAATGTTTATATTTCACTCACTATTTCTAATCAATCTCATAAATAATTTGTGCATGTTTAACTTTGGTTTCACTCTTCATTTATATTTGTGTATTTTCGTATTAGAAATTAGAAAGCGAGAACACAATTTAACAAAATATAGTAAATACGGACTAGATTTGTAAGTCTGCAGGCTGGAATGCGATTTTTAATAACATATTTTCATTAATAAAATAATGGTAATGACTAATTTAATGAAATAAAATAATAATATTTATTACCATTAGATAATTAGAATGAGATGCAATACAATTAGATTTTTGAGATGAACTTACAGCAATAATAAAGCTTTACATAACAATAACAGAGATTTAAATCTGCTTTTTTTCGATAATTTTTGTTATTATAATATAAAAATCAAAATCCGAGATACATTGGTTTGCATTTATCATTTAACTTTAACAAGTATTACATTGGACTATCAGGCAAAGAAGGTATATCTTTAACGAGAATTTTTCTTTGTAAAATTGGCTTTTGTTTATGTTAGCAGAGAAAAAAAATCCGTGACCTATACATGCAATCATCAAAAGAATTTTGAGAACAGTTTTAAATGTTCATGAAGAATTAATTATACTTCAATTTCTTTTCATAGGTAGAAATTTCGTCTAAAACCATCGATATATCCAAAAGTTGAAATCTATTTCGTTTTCAACGAATATTTTATTTGCACATAATATATTTTCTAATTTATTTTAGAAAGAGTAATCTTTCACATTTTCAAAAGAATAAGGAAATACTGGGTGTTGACACAATGTAGTAAATCTGTTTTTCATATTTCTTCCAGTAATGAAAACGATTACCCTGGAATATTTTCAAAGCAAAATTAAGAAAACCGTTTACGCCAAATTTTGCATAAAGTATCTTCTCGTGTATTTTTTTATTTAAAATGTGGAATTTTCTCTTTGAAAATATCAAAATTCATGAAGAGCAAAATTAATTCATGAGAAATAACTTTGAAATGCAATAATTCTATCGTAATATGAAATAGTGGAGAAAAGTGCAATACAGTTTATTTATTCACAAATAATCCCCCTCATATGCGTAATTTTTGTACTGTCGATTGAGAAATGTAGGTTAGTAAATTAAACCGGTTATTTCAATACTTTTCCTTTATCAATATTTTTACGGGCTCTTCAGTAGAACGGTAAAGGTGGCTGAAAACTTGTAGCTCGCTTGGGTTTGAATCCCGGCTAAATAGTTGGATTCACGGTTTTTGTGTAACGTAAATGCAAGCCAGCTTCTCTTAGAAAGTCCTCCGTGAAGGCATAACTCCCCTTATACAGGTAATTGTTGTGTGCTTTGATGTAATTCAGTAAGCGAACAAAATTAATCCAATCAAACCCGAAGAACGGGTTGATTACATGTGGAGTTTTCCACCAGGAACGTAAATGCGAGCAATTCTCTCTTAAAAAGGTTTAAACGAAAGCATCCATCTTCTTAAGCAGATAGCATTCACATGCTTTTCTGTAATCCAATCCTAATTTTCATACATTTAATAGTAAGTTGACATACACCTTATTACAGACAAAATAACAACCCTTTTTTAAAGATATTTTTTATTAACTTGTCTGAATTCCCTTTATCTCTTGAGGAGTATAAGAATTTCAGCAAATAAAACTGGCCGAAATTTTATACAATGTAACTGATGTTTTGATTCAATTTAGAAGTAACGTGAGCTTTACTGATATTTAAATACATTTTGGCAGATCTCATCCTAAAAGAGGGTCTAAAGATAAATTGATTTTATTTAATTTACAATTAATGAAAATCATTGAAAGCAATCACCGAATGAATGAAAATCACAAAAACTATCATGCATACAATTGTCTCTTATTTATCTTGTGATAAATCAAACAAAATTCCTTATATAATAGAAGCACTTCGAAAGAGTAAACAGTTCTTAAAGGTTTCATGCACTCCCCCCCCCCCCCAAAAAAGTCAAAATAAAATCTTATTATTCATAAGTATGAAAAGGAAGTAAACGATAAAAGCGGTTTTACCTATTTTCTAGAATGGCATTAAATCTAAAATATTAATCTATTCTTATTTGTTATGATTAAAAAAACATTAAATATGGTAAGCTTAAAGAGCGTGCAAAATCGCTGAAGTTTTAATCATAGCAAAAGTCAGTACTAAAAAAGTTAGCATTAAAATTATGAGACAGATTGAGAAAGAGCTGGCCTCTATTTGATTATCAAGTATATTGGCGCGAGACGAAACCTGCGTTTTTTGCCAAAATGTAGCCAAACTGATAAGAAGAGGGAAATAATGCGTAGCCAGCGGCTACTCTGAGCAGCGACAATGGACCACCCAGAGATCTACAGATAGGCGATTCTCTAAAATGGGGAGGACATGCATGGTACGACAGTTGTACCAATGCCGGCGTCTGAGAAAGGTCCTTCTTCTGGTACAAGTGCTGTACCAGCCGGCTTCGCAAAAGCTCCCATATGAAATGTTACTATACATATAAGTTATCACTGTCATTATCATCTTAAAAAATTTTATAAAATAAAAATATATTGTTGCAGAAAAGTAACACTTTATTCATAAGTTTATAGTTTATTATAAACAAATAACAGTGACTAAACAAAGCAATGATTGATTCATAATTTACCCATTTAATTGTTAACTAATAAGCAAAAAAGACATTGTCGTAATATAAATTATATTTCAGAAGTAAATTTATATACAGTGGTGGCAAAAATTGTGGACACTTGGAAATTTTTATGTTTTTGAACTTTGTATGCTTATAGAAAATGTTACATTTCGCAAAATGCAAACTTGTATATATCATTAAAGAGAATTTATTACTGAATCCAATACAAAACGCAAAATTCAATTATTTGCAATACAAAAAAAGTTATATGTACGAGGGCAATCCCAAAAAAAAGGTCTCCTAGATTTTTAGATATACAAAGAACCGTTTATTTTCTGTAATTGCTACATCACTTTAAAGATTGCAGAATGCTTTATTTTTCAACAAAAACTGCATTTCGGTCGATGCATTTTTGTAGACGCTGTGGCAGTTTTACAATGCCCATGTCATATCAGCTTGCCGCCATGCCCTTCAGGAAGCGTTGGGGAGCTTTAGGAGCATCCAGGTGATCCTCCGATCTTTACACATTTTATGAACTCAACAATCGCGAAACTCAACAAATATGAACTCAACAATCGCCCCTCAACTTTCGCGATTGTCTCGTCGGCAATTGACGGCCTCCCGCTCCTTTCTTCGTCATGAATTTCAGTACGACAGGCTGTAAACTCTACACCACTTGCGAATGTTTTTGACATCCATGCATGACTGTCCATACACTTCTGTCAATAGGCGGTGAATTTCAACCAGTTTAACGCCTTTTGCATTCAAAAATTGAATAATTGGGTGCACTTTGCACTTGGTGGTAACGTTTATCGGGAGCTCCATTTCGAATGGCTGCCAAGCCAAGACTGAGCATCCGTGCAAAGAGCCTGCGTGTTTATGTGGTAGCGAAGAAGGCACCACTCACAACAGTGTTGCCAACAACCATATTAAAACTTTCTCTACATCCCCAAAAAATAGGAGACCTTTTTTTGGGATTGCCCTCGTACTTTAATATAAATAAACAACACAGTTATGAAGTGGTTTGTAATGTCTAGCTTTCCTGGCCAATCACTGTTCTTGTTCTGAGAACCAATCAAATGTTATTAACTGCCAGTAGAAGCTGACATCATGTTTACACTTGAAACAATTCATTATTTTGCTTTGTTCTGTAGAAGGAGGACCTGTTTTCTTACACACTGCAATTACAAGTAGGAATTTTTGTAAAATTTTTTAATATCTAGTCAAGAGGCAATGACATCAAATAAAAGAGTAGATTGGACACCTAGAAAGAGGTGTAATATTATTGTGTTACGAGAAAGTGGTCTTTCCTATGCTGAAATTGCAAGACAGGTGGGTGGTTCAGTTCCAGTTCATCTGAAAACCGAAAGTTTTGTTTACGATATCAGGAGACAAATTCAATAAAAAACAAAGAAGGAAAAGGCCAAAAAAGGTGCACCACATCTATTGATGACAGAAGAATAAAAAGACTATGTCTCCAAGATAGAAAAAGTCATCAGCGACCATCAGAAGAGATCTGAATGATGTTGATGTTTCTGTCAGTTCAAGAACAATCAGGAGAAGATTAACAGATGTTGGACTGAGAGGTAGAATTCCACGAAAAAAGCCTTATCTTAATTTTCAGCAACGAAAAAGAAAAATACTACGTAGGCAAAGAAACACATTAATTGGACAGATGATCAGTGGTCACAAGTTATATGGAGTGCTGAAACTAAGATATCGTTATTCGGTAGTGATGAGCGAAAATATGTAAGACGTAGAATAGGAGAAGAGCTACATCCTGACTGCATTCAAGCAACTGAGAAGAACCCAGTTAGTGTTATGATTTAGTCATGCATGTCAGCAGATGGCATTGGTCTTCATGTCATCGATGGGACACTGAATGCCAGAAAATACATTGACACTATTCTAGAACCAAAAGTTCTACCTTCCATCAGAGATCTCTTTCCCAACAATGCTTCGTTTATTTTTCAGCAAGATTCTGCGCCTTGCCACACGGCCAAAATATCGAAAGAGTGGTTTTGTACAAAGAGCATTAAATTGCTGTCATGGCCAGGAAACAATCTTGACCTCAATCGTATCGAAAATTTGTGGCACCATTTGAAAACTCTTGTTCGAATGAGGCGCCCATCAATAAAAGGGAACTAATTGAGGCTATAATTGTTTCCTGGCATCATGTAATTACGAAAGAAGAGCTTCTCTTGTCAGCTCAATGAAATGTCGATGTGAAGCTGTAATAAAAAATAAAGGGTACGCTACTAAGTACTGATAACTCACTGCAATCATCACTATCTAATGTATATCAATAACTATTATCGTTTTAACTTTTTTGTATTGCAAATAATTGAATTTTGTGTGTTTGTATTGAATTCAGTAATAAATTCTCTTTAAAATGATATATACAAGTTTGCATTTTGTGAAACGTAACGTTTTCTATAAGCATACAAAGTACAAAAACATAAAAATTTCTAAAAGTCTCCACAATTTTGGCCACCACTGTACATGCCAGATTCGATTTTCTCAAAAACTACATTTAGCTTTGGATGAATGCTCATTAATAGATATAGCACTCTCCTGACTCTGTTTCAAAATTCATAATAATGATTTTCAATTGAATTTATTAGTATTTCCCATTTAATTAGTAGGTCATGATATTTATTCTTAAGATTATCAATTGTTACACATGTAGATATATAGCCGAAAGAGTTCAGCGACAATGGCTTTGAAAAAGGTTTTGGGATCAAGAAGTGATATGTCTTCATACAGTTTCCTATGTCCTTTAAACCTACTTTTCCTAGATGAAATATTGTTATCCATAATAAAATTAAATACAGTAACTTCGAATTTTTTGATAGAGCGATTGAAATTATAGTTGGACAATTTTTTTGTAGTCCATGTGTTTCACTCTTTATCAACTTATAATAGATATAGTTCATCTCCTATAATTATATATCACAACCCAGCCTTTCTAGTTTATTATTGCAATCCAAATGATTTTGCATTAAATATTAATTCGAAGTTTCTAGAAACGGATTTTAAAGAGCTTTCAGCCTCCCTAACCATATTATTTGCTAAGATGTAATGTAACCCTTTAGTCTGAAAATAGTTCGTTACTGGCTCAGTATACTGAAATATATTCAAATATATGTGAGCAGACAAAATTATTCTAAAAGTTAATATTTTATCCAGAGTAGATTTTGCTGTTTGTCATATTTGTGCATTTTGTTTATCATTGGAAGATATACTTTTGAGTAAATATATATATTCTATGTATGTTCTCTAACATGTAGGGCTTTCTCACCAAGTCATCTGCATCGATTTGATTGTTCGAGTTCCTTTATGAAAAATTGAGCATTGTCATAAGAGTGCCAAAGATGAGTTATAAGCAAGAAACTGATCTTCAGTTTGTGCTTGCTGCCGTAAGCAGTGTCACCATTATGAAGCTTTCTGTATTTTTGAATATCAGCCAACTGGCATATAGGTGCAACTCCATTATGAAGCAGTTCCATGGATTTCAGATCATTCATTTTTATGTCTCAAACATTGTGCTGAAGTGCAACATTCTGTTCTTTTGAAGAACATGTTTGTTAGTTGCATGATTTAATGCATTTTAATCTATACATACCTTTAATTTTTTTGGTAGTAAATGTTTATTCTGCATTAATATATGGTAAATTTCTGTAAATATTTTAATCTATTTAATTGTATTGTTTTTGCATCTTGTCATAACATTTTATATTGCTTTTATTTATTTGTAACTTATAGATAATTTTAGTTTTTTTTTAATTAATTTGTGTGGCCATGTATATATAAGTGCTTACATTTTGGACAGAATTCTAGTTTGATTCTAAACCCAACTGTTTTAAACCTCGAAAATAACTTAAATAAAACCTTTAATCACTGTCAGAGCTGTTAACCTTAACTGCATGTTCAAAAAAAAAAAAAAAATCTCTGAGTCTTCCTTTAATGAAATCTTCACAGTTACCGTTTTCTCTACAATATACAGTGAAACCTCGGTTCAAGAAATTTTTTCCTAAAGGAAGTTTGTTAACCGAATCAAATTTCCCCATAAGAAATAATGCAAAATGTATTAATTCATTCCCGAACCACAGACTGGCTATTTTTTATATAAACTTTACAATGGCACTATGCCAAAAATAACTTAACCGAAAATAATTGGAAATCATGAAATATAAAACAAAACAGATAACCATAATATGAAGTAGGTAAAATAGACAAAATTAATTTATTGCATCTGTACTGAGGAAAGTTGGCAGCTTAAGGGACAGGCTGAAGATGTTATTGATTGTGTACGGATTCCATTCCATGAAAGCATCAGGTACATCAGGAATATTTCAGGGAAATAGGTATCATTGCATGTATACTTTGCATCTTACCCTATTTTGCACATATTTCTCCTTTTGTTCTGCAGTCTCCGTTTTTTGTTGCTTACACAATCTCCTTTGGTTGTTGCTTCTGAGTTCCTTCTTGTCAAGGTATTTTTATGGCCCTCTATTAATTTCTCCTTTTCTTCTAGCTCTGTTAACTTTCTAGTGCAGGTCTGCCTTGAAACACAATATTGTAGATAAAGGGGGGAGTGTCTTAAGATAATTTGCATGTTACTTTTCTCTAATTTTCCAAGTTTAGAAGAGAGAGATATTTTTAAATGTTTGTTTATACATTTTTACAAAAATCATTTCTATTTAATTTATTTTCTATTAATTTTTTATGCAGGATGGGATTTCTGGTGCATATTTTACTCAAGACTGAAGAAATTTAAGAAATGAAGATATTTCATGATATTATTTTGATGGTAATTCTTGTACTATAAAACTAAATTTTTAATCAGAAACTATCAATCTCTATTATTCAGAATTAAGAAATATAGCATGAGAATAGTAGACTTAAGATGGTGTTAAAATTTCTCAGAAGTTATGATTTATAAACATCTCTATTTTGTATTTATAAAATCTATATTTGTTATTTATTTTCCTGTAATCTAGTCATGTAGTTTAAAAAATTTCAAGCTGGTAAATCGTTTAAGCTGTGTTGTAAATCTAAATATACATTTTCAAGCATATAGTAGTATTAAAAATGAGGTGCCACTTAAATCGATAGCATTTTAGAGCTGGACACTCTTATTAATTATTAGTCTGAAAATTATCTTGCTTGTCCTTCCTTGTTTTTACTAAGCTTACTTTTTAAAAGTTGAGAAAATTGTATGGTGTATATCCTTTCTAGATTAAGGGCATGTATTGATGTGCCAGTACTACTGTATTACAATTAAAGTCAACTACAGTTTTTGCTGCTGTACTATCCATACATAGTTATGCTACATACAATTGTTTTCATTAATATCTTTTCTGGAAATAATGTAAGCAATATGCACTTAGCACACCCCTTTATGGTGTGCAGGACAGAGAAGGAATGCACCCCCCGCCTAGGTTTTACCTACGGAAACCATGTTATACGAGGCGTATTCGGAAACTAAGTACCGTTTTGAAGGAAAAAAATAGTAAAACAATTTTTTCCAATCCAATTTTATTTTTACCTGAAAATACATGTGTTAAACTATTTTTCAACATAGTTTCTGCCAATGATCAAAACACTTGTCATAGCGGGTGACCAGTTTTTGTATACCAAACGTCAAAGAAACCGCCGGTTACGATAACCACGACTCCACAGCATTTTTCGTGTCATCGTCAGATCCAAAGCGCTTGCCACCAAGCTCGCGCTTCATGTGCAGGAACAAGTGATAGTCGGACGGTGCCAAGTTCGGGCTGTACGGCGGGTGATCGAACTGCTCCCAATGAAACTGTCGAATTAACGATTGAGTGACACCAGCAGTATGGGGCCGAGCATTGTTATGGAGCAACACAATTCCTTTACTAAGCATTCCTCTTCGTTTGTTTTGAATGGCACGCCTTAGTTTTGTTAAAGTCTCACAATATCGTGCCGTATTAATGGTTTCACCTATGAAAAGAAATTCAGTAAGCAAAACGCCTTTCCTATCCCAGAAGACAGTGCACATGATTTTTTGTGATGACGTTGTCACTTTGAACTTTTGTTTTTTCGGAGAATGAGTGCGTCTCCACTCCATCGATTGTTGTTTCGATTCTGGTGTGAAATGACACACCCAAGTTTCATCACCTGTCACAATTTGGTTTAAAAAGTTTTCTCCCTCATCACTGTACTGCGTGAGAAATGTCAGGGCACTACCAAGTCGCTTTGTTTTGTGAACATCAGTGAGCATTTTTGGAACCCATCAGGAACACAGTTTGCGATAATTCAAGCGGTCAGACACATTTTGAACAAAACAGTATGTGGAAATTTGTGGAAATGACTCTGAAAGAGTTGTCATTGTGAAGCGTCTGTTCTCATGAATTGCTTCATCAACTTTCCTTACAAATCAAACATCGGTGACAACAGAAGGCCGACCACTCCGAGCCTTGGCGTGGACATTTGTTCGACCTGAATTAAACATTCTTACCCACTTTCTCACCATTTCATCACTTATCGCGAATTCACCGTAAACTTCTGTCACTTGACGATAAATTTCGGCCCGTTTTACATTCCTCGCGTTCAAAAATTTATTCACGGCATGAATCTCGCAGTCAGCGGGAGAACTAATTGTCTTAACCCTTTCGTGGGCCATTTATTTCTCTTTTGAATTTCTCCCATTTTTTTTATGTTTTATTATCAACTAAACAATAGCATTTAAGGAAATATATTTTATTTTGCCAGATTTTTTGTTTACATTTAAATTCTAGAGGTGGGAAGTATACTTCCCACGGGACCTTTTATGGTCATAGAGAAAATTCAATTTAAAGGCGATTATTTGCCGTGAAAAGATGAGAAACATGTTGCAATGCACAAGGGTACGTCACATACTGCACACATATAGCGGGTCCTCTTTTCTTGGGCCTGTGCTTTGTGCTACATTTCTTACATCGTCTATAGTTGGAAACCATCTTGGCATATGATTCCCACATTGGCTAAGCGTATATCATCCGGAACTGCACACCTTTTTGCTTGGAAGCTAGCAGGACGGCCTTTCCTTTTTTGAGGAATATCCGTCTATTAGTTGACAAGCTAATGCTATACGGAATGTTAGCTGGTCTAAACTTCTATTTCTCTTGTTTACTTGCCACAGTATAAAACCATTTACGATGCCAAGATCAATAAAAAAATCAAAAATACAATGCCACCATTCTACACATCTTCATATTTGGTATCTGTCTTTTCTTTGATCGAAGCAATCAACCCCTCCCAAGATATCGTTGTATACTGCAACAGCTTTAGGGCAAGGTACTTCTGTTTTAGTATAATCCGTTTGTGTACGATTTACAGATGTAATAATCGCTGAATTGTGTGCTGTAGTCAACAATGTAACCACCTTTTTGTCCATCCACTTTAATGCAGCAACACCTTCCTTAGTTAGGAACATTGATTCCCCTCTTTGTAGTTTGTTATTAGCCTTCAGCATTGGTGGTAGATCCTTCCTTTGCGGCCTCACAGTTCCCACAGAAAACAGACCACTTTTAAGTAGACTTTTTGCGAGCCTAAAAGATGTCAAATAGTTATCATAGGCTATAAGATGACCTGTCTGTTTCACATCTTCCGTAGTTTAGTTTGTTTCCCCTAAGCTCAATATTTTACCCTTATTATCAGAAGTTTTATTTCCACAATAAATTTCAAATTTTTGAATATATCCAGTCTTAGAGTCTGCTAAACACCACACCTTGTAACCTCTTTTTATAGGCCTCATTGGCATATACTGCTTCAATGAAGTTCTCCCTTTGAAAGCTATCATACATTCATCTGTTCATAATGTTAAAGAAGGTTCATAGACTTTAGGTATGGAATCATTGAGCTGTGAAGAGGATGCTGAGTGACTTTATGGAGTTTATCATGCCCAAATTGTCCCACATGGATTTGTGCTGTTATCGTTTACATGCAAAGTCTCAGTTATTTTTTGAATATCTTTGCGATTATTATTCTTGCTACTGGTTGACCATTGAGAATAGGGCCTGTGCTGCCAGTAGTTTTTCAGTTCAGGCAATTGATGTTTATCCATGAGTATATGCATACCTACCCATGCTTTCAATTTTTCTGATGTGATTTCTTTCCAGTTCAGGATAATGTCTTTTGTGTTACGTCCCAATCTCTTCCTTTTCTTAGGCTGCTTTGCATTTGAGTTTTCTCAACAATATTCTGTACAGTTTCCTTGGTAAAAATCATGCCAAAATAATCCTTTTCTTTCTCAGTAGAATTGAATGATATTTTCAAATGTATATTTAAAAAATATTCTAATTTTTCCAACATACCTATTGCACGTGGCTTTTATACACAATGCAATAACATTTTCACTTTACACCCCATTATTTATATTTAATATAGACAGTTCTTGCAGAAATATACAAAATAAGAGAACGTTATTATAATAAAAACAGTGTTTTACTTGCATTTGTAGCAGAATCGTATAGCAATGCAAATGTCAAATCAAAAAAGGTGTCTCAGTGGAACAGATCTCGCACAACGCGTTCGAACTTTCAAAACAAAATGTGGTAATTCAATTTTCAATCGATTGAACACAGATGGCAGCACAATACTGAATACCAAAGCTAATATATTATAGTGGGTTTTGTGCTTCCCACAGGTGTATTTCCCAGGATCATGTAGGTGGGAAGTAATCTTCCCACGGCCCACGAAAGGGTGTCTTAAACATTTTGAATGTGCACAGCAAACTGAAAACACAACATAGAGCAACCAAAATGGCAACAATTGAAAGTCAGTGAACAAGAAAGACTAGTGCGCGTGCGCGGGACGCCTATTACAGCGCTGCAACGGTGCTAGAATGAAACGGTACTTAGTTTCCGAATACGCTATGTAATTTGTTTCCTCTGAATGATCAGGTTTGGTCATCTTTCTGGCATGGCCTTAAAAGCTGCTTTGGGAGTCAGTTTGAAGACCTCACTAAATCTTTCAGTCAGTAGTAGAGACGGGCGGTATGTACATAAGACAGGGACATAATCAACATAAGCTTATGACTCTTACTTAATGAGATTTCCTCATTCAGTGGATTATCCAGACATATCGAATGGGGAAAGCACACAATGATTCTTTCAATATAGCGTGCATGTGGTTCCGGGCATCTAAGGGCATCACAGACCTGTTATTGTTGTCTCATTTGCCTGTCGCTTTTCCCTCTAAGAACAACATCCGACTTGGAAGTTTCGGAGGCTAGAGTCTTGTTCCCTCGTTAACCAGAACAACATCCCTCGTTAACATCTATTTCCTCACCAACTAAAAACAGTTTCAAAACTCTTAAAAAATGCTATTTTATCACTGCAAATCTTGCACATTTTACAATTTCTATTGACATTTGCCAAAATATGTACAAAACTTAATGCTCATGCACTGCTTAACAAAAGCTATTTTTCATGCGTTGCTAGTCACAAGGCTCAAAATACCCAAATTCAGTAAAACTGCATAATGATGAGGGAAAAATTGCTTCTCGGATTTTAAAAGTAACAGCTCTTGAAAAATGTAGTGGGCTAGCTTCATATAGACTTTCTAACCTGCAGTCTGCTTACCTACTGTTTTACCTACTGTTTAATGGCTGTATTAATCCTCTGAACAGCAGTGCCGTATATATATATATGTTGCCTAGAATTCTTAATCATCTCTTTCAGAAATTATATAACTATGCATCTTGAAATGTGCGTAAGAAATTATGACACTGAAATGATTACGGTCCAGATATAGGTGGAATTCTGAATTTTTTACTTCCTCAAATCCATTATTTCGTGT